CCGATGAGAGGGGAGGCTGCAGTGCAGAGGTCGGAGTGTAGAGAGTGCCTGCGCTGGGCTTGTGAGGGGAAGGCGCACAATGGGCAGAGTTGCACTCGGTGCTCCCTGGTGGAGGTCCTGCTGCAGCAGGGGCTGAGCTGCTGGATGCTGTCAATAGACTAAAAGATGTCAGGGAAGCTGAGAGGAAGCAGGACTGCTTGCTGCAGGCCCAAACTGTGCAGGGGCCTCAAGCGTCCCCTGTACTTAGGGTAAAGAGCTGCTGCTGAAAATTTGAAGGAAAAAAATAGGCTTATAAAAGGTGGAAGCAAGGACAGGCGACCTGGGAAGAGTACAGGGATGTTGTCCAGGAAGCTAGGGACAAGGTTAGGAAAGCTAAGGCACAGTTAGAATTAAACTTTGCTAGGGATGTGAAAGATAACAGCAAGGGATTCTATAGGTACATAGCAAATAAAAGACAGACTAGGGACAATGTAGGCCCCCTCCAGAAGCTATCAGGAGAACTGGCTACCCTGGATTTGGAGAAGGCTGAGCTTCTTAATGACTTCTTTGCCTCTATCTTCACTGGCAAATGCTCTGACCACACCACCCAAGTCTTGGAAGGCAGACGCAGGGACTGTGAGAATGAAGACCTTGCCCCCACTGTAGGAGAGGATCTGGTTCGGGACCATCTTAAGAACTTGAACGTACACAAGTCCGTTCATGGCAGTCAGGTGAAGTTCCCGACGACTGGAAAAAGGGTAATATAACCCCCATTTTCAAGAAGGGGAACATAGATAACCCAGGGAACTACAGACCAGTCAGTCTCACCTCTGCGCCTGGCAAAATCTTGGAGCAGATTCTCCTGGATGGCATGCTAAGGCACAAGAAAAACAAGGTGCTTGGTGACAGCCAGCATGGCTTCACTAAGGAGAAATCCTGCCTGACCAATTTGGTGTCCTTCTATGATGGGGCTACAGAACTGATGGACAGGGGTAGAGCAGTTGATGTCATCTACTGGACCTGTACAAAGTGTTCAACACTGTCCCACATGACATCCTTGTCTCTAAACTGGGGAGACATCAATTTGATAGGAGGACCACTCGGTGGATAAAGAACTGGCTGGATGACTGCACACAAAGAGTTGTGGTCAATGGCTCAGTGTCCAGCTGGAGACCAGTAACGAGTGGCGTCCCTCAGGGATCGGTGTTGGAACCGGTCTTGTTTAACATCTTTGTCGCTGACATGGACAGTGGGATTGAGTGCGCCCTCAGCAAGTTTGCCGATGACACCAAGCTGTGTGGTTCGGTTGATACCCTGGAGGGAAGGAATGCCATCCAGAGGGACCTTGACACACTTGTGAGGTGGGCTGATGCCAACCTCATGAAGTTTAACCATGCCAAGTGCAAGGTCCTACACCTCGGTCGGAGCAATCCCAGGCACAGCTACAGGTTGGGCAGAGAAGAGATTCAGAGCAACCCTGCAGAGAAGGACTTGGGGGTGCTGATCGATGAGAAAATGAACATGAGCTGGCTTCAGTGTGCACTCGCAGCCCAGAAAGCCAACCATATCCTGGGCTGCATCAAAAGCAGCGTGACCAGAAGGTCAAAGTAGGTGATCCTGCCCCTCTCCTCTGCTCTCGTGAGACCTTACTTGGAGTATGGTGTACAGTTCTGGTGTCCTCAACATGAAAAGGACATGGAACTGTTGGAACAAGTCCAGAGGAGAGCCACGAGGATGATCAGGGGACTGGAGCAGCTCCCATATGAAGACAGGCTGAGAAAGTTGAGGCTGTTCAGGCTGGAGAAGAGAAGGCTGCGTGGAGACCTCATAGCAGCCTTCCAGTATCTGAAGGGGGCCTATAGGGATGCTGGGGAGGGACTCTTCATTAGAGACTGTAGTGACAGGACAAGGGGTAACAGGTTAAAACTTAAACAGGGGAAGTTTAGATTGGATATAAGGAAGAAGTTCTTTACTGTAAGGGTGGTGAGGCACTGGAATGGGTTCCCCAGGGAAGCTGTGAATGCTCCATCCCTGGCAGTGTTGAAGGCCAGGTTGGACAGAGCCTTGGGTGACATGGTTTAGTGTGAGGTGTCCCTGTCCATGGCAGGGGAGTTGGAACTAGATGATCTTAAGGTCCTTTCCAACCCTAACTATTCTATGATTCTATTTCCTAGCAGCTGGAAAAAAACTGAACAATGCTTAAAAGATGTGAAGACATACTGTGAGTCCCAACATGTCTGCCTGTCTGTTTAGACAGGAAAGCTGAACACCAGCCTAGATGTAACTCTGCAGTCTGTCAATACAGGTGAAGTCTAAACTGATGAGACCTCTAAACACTGCAGGCTACTAAGCATGTGCTTGGGAATGCTCCTGTGGTGGGCACATCGGCTGAACCAAACTGTGCACAGCTGATTGCCACTTGTTTTCTGCTCCACAAGGGACACTTGGGAATAGCTCAGCAGATGGCTGAACTCTCCTGCAGTAGCCTGGTTGTGGGTAATGAATGTGAGTTGAGTTTTTTCTAGTTTGATGTTCAGTTTTTCCCCATGTCTTGTGAAATGCCATGTAATGCTAAGAAATCTTGACAACAATTCGGTACTTGATATTTACCAGACACTTTAACAGTTTCAGCCTGAGTCTTTCAGTTCTCCTACTGTAGAAATAACATGCCTAATGCCATCACTGTGCTGCAAAAGTAAGTTAAGTACCGGAGGAGGAAGCTGGGTACCATGGAAGTAGAAGAGCAGAAGCTATCGGAAGCATTGCCCTTGTATGCAGTGGAGGATAGTAAATAGAAAAAGCAAGGCCTGAGGCTGTATCTGGAATGAACAGGGCAAAAGGCAGCACTGTAATCATACAGCAAGGCACATACCCTCTGGAAAAAAAAGAGTATGTTATTCAGTTAAAGGCAGGAGAAGAGCTGGTACACAGAGCAGAGCACACCGCAGTTAGACTGCAAATTTCTTGTATTTGGGGAACTTGTAACCTTAGCATTTTTACTGTGTGATTTTGGGCAAAAGGTAGGGGAAGAGGGTGTACTTTTAGTATGAACACTGCTGTCCCACATCCTGGTGAGCTTCTGCAGGTCCTGTTGATCTGCACTTATTTGTGTGTGCAGGTCACAGCAGCACCCATATCCTTGCTTCCTGTTGTACTTGCTGAACACTCATTTACCCCTACTGAAAACAGTACATACTGTGTGTCCCAGCTCATAGCCTTGCCTCCCTGCTGCTCACCAGATCTGTTAATAGCTTAAGCACAATGTCTTTGGTAACCCCAACACTATATATGCACTGAGTATCAAATAATCTCTACTCGGAGTTAGTGAAACAGAACAGATAAATTGTATAAGGGTTTCTGTTGTGCTCAAGCACAATGTTACTGTGCTTGAGCACAGTAACCCTGCAAGATCTAAGGAAAACAATGACTATTGTTCTTATGCCTCAGTTTCCTTTTTGGTAGGTTGAGAGCAGAATTGTTTTAAGTACATGGGCTTTAAACCACAAACCCTCTCTCCTGGACTGTCCTTTAATTAAATTTATCACCTATGATGCAGAAGCAAGCCCTTCTGTTCTACTCTGTACATCTCAAGTCCCCTCCAAAGCTCAAGATTAATATTTTATCAGTTCTCATGTCAATTAGGTCGAATACTAACCTCATTAACCTCCTGTTTAAAGATTTCCAAACTCTCTTTCTGCAGACATACCTAATTATTTGGTTTCACGAAGCTGTAGCTGTCCTGTTTTCCCAGTGTGATGCTGTCCCTGAGTTCAGCAGCACTGCCTTGCAGCACAGGGCTGACTCTGCATAGACTCACCAAGTCTTTCAAGCAGGACTGGACCCCAGGAGGTCTCTGCTCCAACCTGCTGGTCTTGGCAGGGTCATCCCTGAGGCTGGTTCAGGCTGCTCAGGCTTTATCTGGTCAGTCTTTGAACACCTTGAGGATGGAGACTACAGAACCTCTCTGGGCAGCCTGCTGCACTGCTCAGCTGTCCTCATGGGGAGCAAGTTTCTCCTTATGTCACCTCTAAACTGTTTTCAGTAATGCCCATTTTCTCTTGTCCTCTCACCAACGTGAGTAACCTGCTTGCTCGGTAGCATTGCTGCAAGTGCTGGTGGGCTGCTGCTGAGACCCCCTGAAGCCATCTGCTCTCCAGGCTGAACAAGCCCTACTCCCTCAGTCTCACTTCACAGAGGACAAGCTCCAGCCCCCGACTGTCTGGGTCATCTCCAGCAGGATACATCCTGTTCTGCCAAGACAGCCAGCTGGAAGACCTAGAAAACATTCTGACTGTCCTTTAAGGTGATTCCTTGTGTATTGCCAAGCTGTGGTGGAGAGTGAGGTCTCCACAGTGCGCTGAGGTGTGTGGTGGCACAGCACCAAATTCGGGTGCCCTGGGTGAGACCTCACAAACTGCACCCACTGCTGGGGGTTGTCACCCCCCCTGCAAAGCTGAAACCCAACAGCCTGTGTGTTTTGGCAGTTAAATCCCTCAGTGCCTGTCAAGAGCAGCCAGCAACAGCGGTTCCTGGTGTGGGGAGGGAGAAGTGGTGGTTGTTAGGAATCCCTAGGGAGGTTTACTTCATGAGGTGAACTGAGGAAACGCAGGTTTGGAGCAGCCGGAGGCCGAGGGTGCTGCTTGCCCCGTACAACACGGAGTACCCTGGGTGGGTATTTTCCTGCCGCCTGCGCTTTGTGCCACGTTAGGGACATTCCTCAGCAGGAATTTAACCACTTTCTCGTGCACTCGCTTCAGCACCCTGTGCTGCGGGGCGTGGGAAACAGCTCCCCAGCGCCGCTCCCACTGGCGGTAGCTCTCAGGCGGCTTCTCACCCGCCGCCATTTTGTTGCGAGGCGGGGGTCGCCACCTCGAGCCCCGCAGTATCCTGCCGCTCGGCCACACCCGCCCTCACGCCGCACCTCAGCCTTGCCCGGAGTGGGGCGGGCCTACGGGGCGGCCCCTCCCTCAGGGGCAGGGCCGGGGGGGAAGAGGTGGGGCGGTGCGCGCGCGCCCGCCCCGGTTACCGCGGCTGTGTCCCCGCCCGCTGCTGCCGCTGTCGTTTGTCGCCGCCGCCGCCATGGACAGCGACGAGGAGACGCTGGAGGAGACCGTAGAAGGTACCTGCACCGGGGAGCTGAGAGGGGCGAGCCGCCGGCACTGGCGGGCGTGGGAACGGGGAGGGAGGCGGCTCCGCGGGCTCTGGGCAGTACCGGGTGAGGGGTGGGGGCGCCTGGGGCCGGCGGCAGCGCATGACATCAGCGGGCTTATGCAACGGCCGCGCTGCCGGGCCGCCGCCGGTCACACCGGGACACGTGCGCGGTGAGGGGCAGCGCCGTGGCGGGGGGCCACGTATGGCGCCGGTACCGGGCTGCTGCTTTGGCCTCACTGGTGGCCCGGGCGTGCGGGTCCGGCAGCTGGTGGTGACGTTTGATCCGCGCTACATGTGGAAAAAACCGAAACAATTAAAAATTATTTCAGAATGGGTTGTAGCCATCGGTGCTGTGCCCACGTGCGCTCCGCACCCGGTGCCTCATCGGCCGCGCGGTTCCCCCGAGCTGCCCCTGGGCTTGTACCGCAGTCGTGCTGCTTCGTTCCCGACGAGCCAGGAGCCGGCCCCGAGTGGCCGTGCGGGCTGCGGGCGCTGGCCGGGGGCGCCGCGTCCTCCCAGAGCGGTGGTGGGGAGGCTTGTGGCAGAAGAACCCTTCCTGCCGGAGCACAGCTCGCTCCCCCAGGCTTGGTGTGTCAGGGTAAACCCGGCCTTGGTGAGTGCGCTGGGAGTGAGGGGTAACAGTCACCTTTGTGGAAAGGGAAAACAAAAAGCAACGGAAGAAGGCAACTGTGGTCACATTCATGGGCAGCAGAGCTGGGAGTTGAGTCACCCGTATTGGAGTGAGCAGGCTCACAAGCAGTATACACTCCCTTTTGCAAGTGCTAACCTTCCATGAGTAAAGAACCAACCCTTGAAGAGTTTTAAAAGAGGCACACGCCTCTGGAAGGCATTCCTAATGGAAACCTTGGTACCCAGGGTTGCAGCTCCTCCCGTGCTGCACCTAGGAGTGAGGGACGGGTCTCCTCCTGCAGCCCTAGAACAAAGTGTGTGCCAGCTGTACCTGAAGGCACCTGCTCCCAAAGGTTTGTCGCAGGGCACACACGGTCCTGCTGGAAAGAGCACTCCTGGATTGTCAGTTGTTGGGGTTGAGCACACAAAGTAAGGATTTGCCTGTGATGAGATGCTGGTAATTCTCATTGTTTGGTGTGGCTGTTTGTATCTTGTGGCAGGAGGATTAGGCCTCAAAGCACATTTCTCCAAAGAAGACATCAGGCACGGCAGCTTAGTCTAACAACAGATGTGAGCTAAGCAGCTGCTGCTAGGATCTGGATTTATTGTCTAGGAATGTGGTAACAGAGCCAAAGAGAAGCATTGTTGTATAAAACACGGTTGTGAGGGGAGTGAGATCCTTCAAATGAGGGGTGCTTTGGATAGGGTGTGCCCTGCACCCTTATAGATGTGTCTTTTCTCCTCCCTTTCCTCTCTACTCTGTAGATGTGTGGATTGCAGTTGTATCTTGGGCAGAGTCGTAATTTTGATCCTCATATCACAGGTAAAGAAAGCATTCTGCCATTTTGTGGATTTATGTAGCATTTCTGTGGGCTAAGGAAATGTGTTTTTAAAGCATGTTATCCATCAGTGTGTATGAAAGTACCTGTTTTTCTGAGTGACGCAGAAGCAGGGTGCTGTTTCGGGGTGAACAGGATGCTTGGGTGTTTTTGCACTCACCAAGAGGCAGTTGGAAATAGGAAAGAAGTCGGCATGTTTGGGGTTTTATTCTGTGGGAGGAGGTTGTTTTATTGTTATTATTCCTGAAATATCAGACTTGCATCTTTGTGGCCAGAATCTTTTGTTGATGATGCATACTGTCTTTTGCTAAGTAGTAATAATACTGACAGCAAAGGGCTTTTACCTTTGGGTTCTGCTAAGTGGCCCCATCATGCTGCATTGTGAACTAGCTGCTATTAGTGTAATTCCTTTTCTTGAAAAGCTCATGGTCTGAGCTTAAGATGAGCTCTTGAGAGACTCTTGGAGAAGTAACAACAGTGGGGTTTTACAATAACTTTAAAATATGTTTAGACATTTTGGGTTTGTTTTCACAAATGGACAGCTGAAGAGGCAACAAAGGGAAGCTGAACACTCTGCTACACTCCCACTGAAATAATGAGGGCTTTTTTTCCATTGACTTCTTCTGAAACAGAATTAGAGCCCGAGGCCTCATCCATGTAGGAAAAGTTGCTTCTATGTAATTAAACTTGAAATTGCTTTCCTCCTGCCCCTCCATTGACTGAGAGACTGAATGTCTCTTGTTTTGTTGGGGTGAGGGATATTTTTTTTCACTAGGGGACAATCTCTCACATACTAGAAGAATTGGATTCTTTGTACTATGGAAGAGATTAAGACTCTGTATAGAGGCCATCAGATCAAAATTGACCATTTAAATCTCTGGGATAGTCTGTATCCTGCCATGCAAAAGCCCTGACATGCGTGCTGTGTATAAGTATGGCAGCTTTTGTGTTGGGCTTTGCATTCCAGCAAAACCTTGACAAAACTCAATAAGCCAATAACCTGAGAACAAAGTTGCAAGGGTCTTTGTTGCTCGGTTGTTGTTTTCATTTGTTTGTTTTTGATAGTATAATTTACCAATACTTTCAGTATATTTCTTTTAATCCAAATGTTTTTTTAAAGTTCTGCTCTGCTAGTGAGGGGAAAACTGATACTGTATTATTTAGGGTTTGTTTGCCCCTCCCATGCCAATAAAAGTGAAGCCTTTAATTATAACTGTAGATGCTGACATAGTTGGCTTTGTCCAAATTAGAAATTTCACTGACCTCTTTGTTAAATTGATATAACTGCTGAAACTTTTCCCTTTTACAAGAAGGGGCGTCCCGACTGAATGGGAGGGGGAAAAAAAAAGTCTGCCTTCTTTTTGGAAGGGGTGGCATGCTGCCTGTTCTGTTGTAAAGGGTTCATCTTCAAAGTTATTAAAAGCCTTTAGTGATGTCGCTTCCCACACATGCAAACACACTCTTTTGCTCTCCCTGTCTATTCTCTTAACTTCTGTGGTGTTTTGGACAGTAAGCAGTGTCTGACTGGTTTTATTAACTTTTTAAACTTCTGTCTGTTTTCAATGTAACATGCACTGGGAACTGAGTTTAAGAGCAGAGTGCTGTTTTGTGAAATGGAAGCAAGGTGGGTTGCTACCCCAGGAGGGGCAGGTCAGCTCTGCCATGCCGGCGGGGCACGAGGTCAGCCCCCCATACCAGCACAGGAGCCACAAAGGGAAGGATTGACTAGTGTTACTTGCAGAGGGTGCTAGGCAAGTGCCAGAGCAGGTGTGACACCTTTGGCAGCACACATGAGAAGGGTGGAGGAAGGGATCTTGGATTAATTCAGGTTTCTTAGCATTATTTTCTACTGTACACCTCCCTTCTGGGTGTACATACTCAATGTAACAAGTGCGGGAGATGGGTAATAAACCTGCACGGCCTTACTTGATTACTTTGGGGAACATTCACTTGGCTGCATTTTTTTTTTTTTTTTTTTACTTCCTCTCTTTGTGTCTTCCTCTTTTTCTTTTCTTTTTTAATGAAGGTTTCAAGAGCTTGGAAATATATCCTGACAGAGTATCCTGTGCTGTGTGGCATTCTTCTGTCAGTCATTCTGGTATGAAAAGCTAGGGCAGGTCATGTGCCTCATAGGAAAGGACTTAACCAGATGCTGCCCCACATCCTTTTCATGCCCCGTCTGTGATGTCCCTGAGGGGCTGTGAAGCGTCCCAAGGAAGCAGTAGCTCATGGTGATGTGACAAGATGTGGGCATGCATGTGCCATCTGGATAACCCTTGTCCCTCCAGAACTCTGTGAACCTGTTGCAATCAGGGCAGGAGTAGATGGACTTCTAGAGCCACATGGGTATCTGGCTTTTCCCACTGTTGTCTGTGCAGCTTGTTTTCTTCCTGGGCATAGGACTCGAGGTTTGATAATACTGAAGTGCCTCTTGGTGCCTGCATCAGCCTGGACTGGAATTGCTCCCCCACACACTGGAGTTCATTTCTGCCTTTCTGTATGCGTTTTGAACTTTTTCAGTTTAGGGTAAATTTGATCAGGGAAGAACTTGAACCAGAGTCTGTAGAAGTGGATGTGTGTGCTGCCTCTCATCTCTGGTAGGGTTTGTATGCCTCACCCAGAGACTCAGGGGCTGAAAGGCTGATTTTTATTTAGAAACGTGGAAGAACATAAATATACACTAGCTCTTAGTTATTCATCAGTTTTCATGCAAAATTTATACCTGCTAGAATGTCACAATGGGAGCTTGTTACACCGGCACCTGGTGTATCACTGTGCTGAGAGCAGCCCTGCTGAGCTTGAGCATCTTCATTCTTCAGTCAGAGAAATGTCCTGTTAATGCAGTGCTAAGGACTCAAAGTTCACGCAGGTTAACCAGATAATAGCAGTTGTTTAAAACACTCTTATTTCCTTTTTTTTTTGGCTTTGAAGAGGCAAACAGTGATAGCCTTATTATGCTTTAACTTAATCAGAGTTGGCCAGTTGTATTCTGTAAAATAAAGACCTGTGCAGATGAGGATCCGCGGTGTTTCCGTTCTGCTTTCTCCGTGTGCAACAACTGTAATGAGAAAAACTGATAGGGCTAGGAAGGGGAATGGGATGGGGGGATATAATGTGAACACATCAGAAAGGCACTGGAGAGTGGCGTTTAAAATACAAGATAGCAAGTTGGCTGACATTACAAGGGCATAGTATTATAGGTATTACATGCTTTTATTTCTTTAAATTCCTGTGAATATGGCTGTGAGGTGTCACACCCATGTTGTAAGACATGTATTTATCAAAAGAAAAAAAACATACCTTTCCTTACTCAGTGGATTGAAGTCTAAATCTGTTCTGTTCTCACCAGGATATACATATTTTAGATAAAGAATTACTATCTTTTTGAAGACTTAGATTAACATAAGTTAGAACAGTGTGAACCTTGTATTTTTTAGAAACGTCTTGCTGCTTATTCTTCTCTTCCCTCTCCTGTCTCTCATCCCTTTTATTTTATTCTGATCATCTTATTTTTCAAGCAAAATGTATTACACAAGTACAGACTTCATCTATACTGAATCTCTGATCCATGTTCCTAACAGAAATGTTTAGCTGCACATTACTGTTTTGTACTGGGGAGCTACTGCATTTCAAGAGTCCACATAATCAGAAGAAGTTTTTAGTTTTATATAATGTTTAATGTGTTCTTTTGTTCTTTGCCTGGATTTTATTTCAGGGCATCTAGATGATGATGGGCTGCCACATGGATTCTGTACAGTGACTTACTCATCAACAGACAGGTTTGAAGGAAACTTTGTGCATGGAGAAAAGAATGGCCGTGGCAAGTTCTTCTTTTTTGATGGAAGGTAGACACTGACTCTTGAATTTTTCTTCTATATTTTGCCTCCTGCTTGCAGTGATAAAAAACTAATCTACATTGATTATATGCTGCTTTCTGGTAAGCTTTCTCATTAAAAGCTGTAGCTGTAAAGTTTTGTCTGCTGCTGCTGGGCCTGGGGGCTTTGTATGTAACGTGATGCCTGGAGTTGTTTCCTGGTGGGAGAATGCATCAGTGTGAGTTCTTTTAGCACTATAAAGTTACCAACCAATTAGACTGTAAGAACTTGGGAGGTGGTCAGAGCTATTGGAAACCATGCTGACAAGGACTTGGGCTGCAAAGTTCAGCTCCATAACTGTAGGTGGAGTTGTTTTTGTCTTACAGCCTTATACAGAGACTGTAACTGGACTGGGATCTCCCTCTACCAGACCTTGCACACAGACATAGGGCCTTGACAGAGGCTTACCTTCTTTCCGCTCAAGCGGGGTAATTGTTTAGTGCTTAAAGGGCTGAGTTAAGCATAGGTTTGTAGCCAGCTGTACCTAATCATCTGCAAGTTGTTTGTGGCCTGATTTATTTTCAAAAAAAGCCCCTGTAATTTCCCCTCTCTTTGCTGGAAATTGTGACAGTGAAATTGGGCTAGAAGTTGCCTATGCATGTGTTTTCTTCTTAGGGCTTCATCATTATGAATGCCTTATACATCTCCCCCCAACTGCAGGGTTTCTCTCTGCAGTTGCTCAGAACTTCATCCAAAGGAGCAGCAGCAGATGTATAAAATGACACAATTTGTGATGGTTTTGCAGCTGTCGGTAGCACTATGAATAGCAGCCCTTAAACTGACAGTCGTGCCGGGTCTACTCTCCTCCTGCTCTGAGAACTTCTGAGCAGGAGCAGACTTATTTGTGCTGTCTCAGTGAGTCAGCTCCTTGTCTGTACTTGCCTTTGCAATTGCTTCATTCTGTAGATTGGGTTTTTTTTTTCATGACGACACTTACTCAGTTATGCAGAAACTGACCAGGCCTCCAAGCTTAGATGAAATAAAATCCCCACTGTTGTGGTAACAGGCTTATTAAATCTTCTGTGAGTAACTGAAAATCAGTACTGCCCAGCAGCTGACCTCTCTAAAATAGGCTTTTTTTTCAAGCTGGCAGTGAGCATCTCTATGGACACATGTACATAATGCTTCTGTGGTTGTTGATGATCTCAGCAGAGCAGTTGTTGGTTGTACAGTCGGAGAAACTGACCCACTGTTTTGTTTGTAGGGCTGCTCCTCCATGTAATCCAGGGTACAGACAGTGCTCTGTGGGAAAACTCAGATTGCTGCTGAGCCTTTTCTGTACTTCCTCAGCGTTGCCAATTCTTCTTCTTCTTTTTTTTTTTTTTCCTCTTTATTTTCATAACCCTTAAAAAATGGAACAGTTGGCTACTGTGTGGCTTCGGGAGCTAGCAGGATGAAAATACACAAAAATAGTCTGTAATGTGGTTTTGGGTAATGGGGTATTTTTATAAACTGCCCTAAGCTTATTTTAATTTAGCTAAAGCAGCCTTAGCCGAGCAGTAAGTGGTTATTAAAGATGTTGTGATTTCCCCAGCTATGTCCAGCTAGGAGGAGTAAGTTGCTCTCTGACGTGGATGATTCAGGTGTCGTGATGTGCTGCTGGAAGAATGCCCTGGCACAAAGCAGAACGTGCTGTTTCCATTAGCTGTGCCATGGGCAAGGCTAAGTGTTTATGGAGAAATGAATCCTCGGAATTTCTCAAAACATCTCTCCCTTGCAGTATTGTGCGTTTCAGTGCAGTAAGCTAGCTGGTTTCAGCATTACTGAATGTCTCCCTCACAGGCTGCTTGTAAAGGCTGACAGCTGAACTGCAGTAGGTCTGTTGTTTGGGAGTAGCTCAGTCCTGTCAGGCACTGGGCTGGCAGCAGCGTCAGCATTCTCGTTTTCTGGGTGCTGGGAAATAGGATTGGCTGCCTGGCTGCTTTGTTTGTCTCAGTGAAAACTCTTCCCTTTACTGGAATAGCTGCCCCTTTCCTGTTGATTATTTAAGGGAGTGGAAACCTGGAATGAAATATCACTTATTTTTTCCTTCCCCTTCAAAAATGCAACAAAACCCAACGTATCCCTTCAGAGAGAGGTTTCACCTCTGGCACACTCCCTGTTCTGGATTGTGCACTTGAGCTCCCATTGGTGTTAACGCTTGCTGAAGTGCACTTACAAAACACTTTGTGCAATAACTGTGAGCATGAGACCCATGTTTGGCACAGAGCTGCAGCTGCTGTTTCCCTTAACCAGAGACTCTTGTAAACTGGAATCTCCCAGAACACAGAGAACAGTGTTATTTTTAAGAAAAAGTTTTCCATATTCCCATATAAAGGGAAAAGGTGGGAGATAAGGGAGTGAGGGATGAATGGGTTAGAGTCTGTCAATGTAACTTAATGCCTGGAAGGATATTTCTGTAAGTATTCTCTACCCCTGCCCTGCTGCTTATAACTAGTCTATCTTTCAGGTAATGGATATCCTGGATTCCCACCTGGATAATGGGAAGACAGTACACCTGAAAGTTTTACTGAAGTCAAGTTTCACATTATGATGAATATGATAATCTGAGAAACAAACTGGAGAAATACAGGCTAGCTCAGGGTCTGTATTAACAAGATTTTGTTTATGCAAGACAGAGAAGCTATTTATTCCTCCTTGTGCCAGTCAGGTCTTAGCTGCAAGTATTGTGTCTGTCTGCAGATCCCACACCTTGAGAGCTTGAAAGGAGAGAGAGAGAAGGGGGGAGCAGTGTGCAAGTAACTCAAAAGCTGTGAAAAGTGTAAAAGTATTAGACAATCTGAGCTTTTAGGCAAGATTGTAAGACATGGCATTCTTTCTTTAGATGTCTTTCTTTTGATTTCATTATGTTACATGAGAGTAGAAAGATCTTTTGGACATTGTTTGTAGCTTAATACAAAGAACCAAAGCTAGAAATCTGAGTCACAGTAAAAGAGAAGGTAACTTTTCCCAGGGCTGAGGCACTGTTGTAATTCAGCAACTTGTTACCTTTAATGGTATTAGTTGAAGTTAACAAGAAGAGGCTGTTTTTGGTCTGTTTCATTACATAAACTGGGGGTGGCTGCTTCTTTTAAAGAGTAATCCTGCGTGTAGACTCTGTGTGTTGCCAGCTACAACAAAATTCAAATCTGGTGATCTGTGATAAACTAGAAGAGAAAGTGGTGTCATTTATAGTTGAGGAAGTGCACAGATTTCTGGTGGTTCCCTCATCTGCTCAGCTCCTTCCCCGTGCTGTGTGGTGCTGTAGCTGTCTGTGCAGCTCTGTAGCAGCCTGGATCAAGAAATTCATCCAACTGAGAAGTAAAACAGCTTTCCTGACCCTTCCTGCTCTGCATCTGGTTTGCATTGAGGCTTTTACCTTAATGTCTTTTCTCATGGAAATCTCAGCCAGCCTGCCAAAGTTATGTAAGAACAGTGTGTGACGCTTTAGAAACCATAAAGTTACTTCTGAGGAATCATGCTTTCTGCAGCTCTTGACTCTACATGTTTTACAAAACTTCTCAAAACAGGTTTTCATGTGCTCCAAGGCACTGTCTGGGCTTATACCTTAGATGTAGAAAAAGAACGACGGGAGTGAAGGTATGTGTACTCTTAGCTAAATGTGCTAGGGTAAAAGCTAAACAGCTTGTATTTCCTTATGCTAGTTCTAGCGTGAGAAAGAAATAACTGAGTAGATCCTCTTTTACAGTTATGATTTCCTTTGTAGTTTCTCTCAGCACTCTTTTTAAGAAAGGAAGCAAAGTGGATTGTAAGATACCATTGTGCCGCTTCTACAGGGTTTGCAAGACAAAACTGAAGTGAAATGTTCCTTTGTTCAAATCCAGGTGCAGCACTAGTTCTGTTTGACAGGCTGTGTTCCATTTTAATAGAAATACATGAAAAATGACAGTGCTTTTAGCAAATCTGGTACAGATTGTTGCTAGCTGTATTGCTAGGGAGCTAACACCGAGCTCGTAGCAGGTTGCAGTTTGTGCTCTGTTGTGGTCCACCTCTGTGGTTATTCAATTTCATCTCACCAGAGAGATGTCAGTAAAGATCTAAATGTAGGAGGTAGAACTTACAACGTGAGAGTAGCCTGCTTGAGCAGGAATTTCTTCCTTGGCCATGGGCATCCATTTGCTGCTGTAATTTGCTTCCCCAGCCTATAAAAAGAGCTGGGCAATGCGATTTAGATGAATGATTCTGTGTCTGTGCAGCGCACCCTGGTGAAATGACAGTGTAATTTGTTTTCTGCCTTTGGAGTTCTGCAGAAGCAAGCTTCTGTTTTTCATCTTGGCTTTCCTGAGAACTCAGGTTTACTTTCCTATTCTCGTTCCCCTTCTCCCCCTCAAATTTGGTTGAAACTAGCAGACACATCAGACTTTCAGACAGAAATCAGAATAGTGATGGCTGGGGGGGATAGAGGAGAAATGCTGGAAGTGGTGTTCCAGTGAGGGAGCCCTGGCAGCTGCTGCTGAGCCTGGGTTGTTGTAGGTACCCAGCAATAGCAAACCATGTATGAACAGTTACCTCCTCCTAGGACCTGATTTTCATGGAGGCTTCCCCTCATGCCTCTCTGTACCAGTAATATGCAGAATAACAAGCAGAGTTGTGCCTCGTGTTGAGGCTTTGGGTTCACCTCTTAGGTGAATACTTTTCCACTGCTGTTCTCTTTCTGTCTTTTCCAGCACCCTGGAAGGGTACTATGTTGATGATGCCCTGCAAGGCCAAGGAATCTATACTTATGAGGATGGAGTGGTCCTTCATGGCACATATGTGGATGGAGAGCTGAATGGACCAGCCCAAGAGTATGACAGTGATGGGCGGCTCATATTCAAAGGGCAGTATAAAGACAACATTCGACACGGGGTTTGTTGGATTTATTACCCGGTAAGCCTGACCACCTGCTCTCTTTATTGCAGAATAGTATGTGTCTATTATGTGTCTTTCTCTTCTCCCCATCTGAAACAAATGTCCACCGTGACCCAGCTATACAAAAGTCAGCCCACAAAAGTCTGGGTGGAAGATCCAATTTTGGATATTCTAACATGCAGTTAAAGCTTTTCAGTGTCCCAGTAGACAGGACTTGGCAAGGCTGTGAGATGCCTTCACTATTTCCATCTTCCAGGGAACCCAGCCCCTTGGAAGTGTGTTTGTGTATATGCTTGGGAAAGCTGGGTTGGTGATTGTGCACTTTGTGGTGCTGACTGCAGGTGAGGAGCATGGGAGCCATGCAAGTTATTGTAACTTGCTGCTCTTACTTAACTAGGAGGGGACACTGTTTCCACAGGATATGTTGTGAAGTCTGGCTTTGCCCAACTGGTAACTGATGTGAGAGCTGTGCCTCTGACTCGAGTGTGGACAAGTGATTTGCACACTAAGCAAGCCAGAGTTTAATGTTTCTGTTTCTCGGTAAACATTTGGATATTCCTCTGGACAATGCTGCAGAAATTTTTCACGTGCTTTTATACTCATGCTAATTAGGGCAGTAATGGTTGTGCTGGGCTTTAGGGGGGGGTTATTTAAATTTAAAAAAAAAATAAATTCTTTTCTATTCAGCCTTGTGCTGCACTCCAGAGTTGAACCTTTCAATCTTTACGTTGTGCTGAGGAAGGAGAAACATCTGCATGTAATTAAATTAAGTTGTTGTCGTGGTTTAAACCCAGCCAGACAGCTTGTTCACTCACTTCCCCCCCTTCTTGCCCTCTCCCTACTCCCGGAGGAACAGTGAGGAGAATCGAAAAGAATGCAACTCCCATGGGTTAAGATAAGAACAGTTTAGTAACTAAGGTATAGCACAAATCACTACTGCTACCACCAATAATAATAATGATAAAGGAGATAACAAGGGAAGAGAATACATCACCTCAGCACCAGCTGACCAATAACTTGCCCCCCCCAGCCTGACCAAGCACCAACCGATACCTCCTCCAACCCTGCCATCCACCAGCCCTTCTGGGTAACTCCCAGTTACATCCCGGGCATGACGTGCTGTGGTATGGAATACCTCTTTGGTCAGTTTTGATCAGGTGTCCTGTCTCTGCTTCCTCCCAGCCTCCCCTCCTCCCTGGCAGAGCATGAGGCTCACAAAGTCCTTGGGCAAACCAAAACATCATTGTTATCAGCTCTGTTCCCAGGCTGAAAGTCAAAACACAGCACTGCACCAGCTACCAAGAAGGAGAAAAATGACTGCTACTGCTGAACCCAGGACAGCTGTTAGTCAAAACCCATATTGCACATCCTTCAGTTGCAAACTCATTTCAAGTGCTCACCAGTGGCTGTTCATTTTATTTAATGTTTTTCGCTATTGCCATTAAGCATGTGTTAGAATCAACAAATGCTTGGTGTATGCTGCCAGACAAGTGGCATATTTTCAGTACTACTGTATAAAATACACACAACTGACCCTTCAGGTATGTGTCTTCTGTTTCATCTTCCAGCTGACAAAGTGTTGCTGTGCATTCTGGAAATGTAGTTATTTAGAGGTTAGTCATTACCATTGTGCCAGACTGAAGAATACAAGGTGTTTCAAAACACTTCTTGCCATGGAAGCAATTGTTTATGCATGGTTCTGTGCGTAATGCTATGTGCACAAATTTTTACCCAAACTTAAGGTTCCTGTTCTTTACTATAGTATGTTTTAATCTCTTTCATCCTTGGAGATGAACAAAATGGTGCCACTCTGAAATGAAGTCTGTGTGAAGAATCTTGATCTAAATCAGTCTGTTCCCACATCACAGCTGCTGGTTTTGCTCAAGGGCATTATTTAACTATGTTTCCTTGTCCTTACTGAAATAAACACCTGAAGTTATTAGACCTGTGCTAATCTATGCATCTCATTCTGCAGTTCTGTAAATAGACCTGACTGGAGTTGCAGGCATATCACAGATGGCAAAGCCCGGGGCTGAAATGTGTAAACCTTAGAGAGGAAAAGTGTTGCTTTTGTTGTTGATGATGCCATTCAGCAGACAGTTGTTCTCAGCTGATACAGTGGGAGGATGCTGGGACAGAGAAACTCTTCAGTCATCCAGCAAGTCTTTATTTTTAAGCAGGCTCAAGCCTTTTGATGTACTATGAATTAGCAGTGAGCAAGGCAGTGGTTTAGTTTGTTTTCCTTTCCTACAGCACAGTATCGTACTAAGAAAACTCAAAAGTTTGTATGTGTCTTTGGACTTTAGTTCACTGACTATTCACATAAAAATGTTGCCAACTGGGACTCAGTATTTGCATCACATGGAAGGAAAGACTTTGGTTTTTACCTATTTCAGACAATGTAGAAAACATTGTTAATTTCTTTTGTCAGTTTTATCCTGACTGGGATGACTTTACCCAGCATCTTCATGTGTCTGTTTCTCACTCATTTTCATGATCTCACTTCTGAACTTACTGTAGCTTAGATTGCTGCTTTAAAAGGTTGGGAAAAAATCTTTTCTGTCTGCTGAAGATAGTAAAGTATAACTACATGCTCTGCCTTTTCTTTCTTGCCCATGCTTTCAGGATGGAGGCAGCCTTGTGGGAGAAGTGAATGATGAAGGGGAGATGACTGGAGAGAAAATAGCCTATGTGTACCCTGATGGAAAGACTGCTTATTCTGGAAGGTTCATAGATGGAGAAATGATAGAAGCAAAACTGGCAACTCTGACATCTCTAGAGGATGGGAAACCTCAGTTTGAAGCAGTACCAGGCAGTAAGTTCAGCTAACACAGAAACCTGTACTCTTGCTACCAGAGGGCAAACAGCTTGCTGGAAACAGCTTGGTTTCTGTCATGTTCCCCATTAGAGACTTTGAAGGCTGGCTGTGATGAGATAGTAAGTCTATTAGTGAGAAGCCCTTTTTCCTAAATTATCAAGTTGGACAGAAGGGCGCAAGGAGCGATCCCTTTGCTCTGGGAAGAGACAGGAAGTGACCCATGTGGTGGTGCTGCTGACCTGCTCTTCATAACCCTTCTCTCGCATGCTCATGGGTGCAGTCCTGCTTGTCACACACGCCACTGCCATCTGTGCCAGCAGGAAAACCTGCTTAACCATGGTAATGCTGGCACAGTTACAGGCTTTGTTTTGTTAGTAAAATTACTACAAGTGGAGAGGGAGGCTGTGGTTTGGTTGTAGCTCTGTCAGTTGGGTTTGTGCAAGTGAGTGTTGGCACTGTGAACGTTCTGGCATCTGTATTATGTGGCTGAAAGGACACAGGGATTTGAGTTAGTGAACTAGATTCAGTTGTGTAACAGTCTGATTCACCTGCTCCCTTCAGTCTTGCTAGTCCTGGTAATAGCAAGTGGCTGTGAAATGGTTGGAGTGGTGCCTTAAACCTGTGCAGCCAGTGCTCCTTCCCCAGGGCAGCGCTGGTTTGGTGTGATTCTGTTGCTCTGAGGTGTATGTGATGTCTTGGGGGTGAGTGGGTTAAGTTGTGGACAGGGCCATGAGCAATAAACAGGGACCAGGCTAACACATTTCCGTTTTGTCAGCAATGATTGATATGAAATAAGAGCATAAAACTCAGTGAAAAGGCGTTGAGAAACAAATGCATGTGACTATTTTTTTAAATCAGTTCTGACAGCAAGTCAAAATTTAACTTGAAACTTCTGAGAGGATACAGTTGTGCTTTGCAAATAGGATTTGGTTGCGCTATGGAGGAAGCTGCCTTCAGCCAGAGCAGATCTTGGACCGCAGGGGCAATGGCCTTTTATTAAACTTTGTAATATTCTGGTTTGGGTTCTTTTCCTCATCTTATTTCCACCTGCATCTTAACCTATCTCCCAGATAGTCCTCTGGCAGTTGATTGGAGAGGGATGTAAGGATATAATTAGAGCTGTACCACTGAGTTGCTTATTAATGCCAGGAAATAAATGACTGTAGCAAGTGTACTTTGTGATTACTGAACATTATCTTCTGTCTGAAGTATCTTCAGGATTTGAACTAGAAAATATATTTGTTTTAAATAGTCCACAAAGTTTTTTTATCATTAATGTGTTATTGAATACACCTTTTAAATGTTGCGTTTTAATTTTAATTGGAGACTCTGGGAGGGTCAGTTTTGGAAGACTGTGCAGTCCTCCTTTGCAAGTTGATAGTTTGAAGAATGTATGTATAAACCTTTTGTGATAAATATTAGTCTAGTGTTTTAAGGGGAAAAAATAATCAGAAACAGTATCTCACTGAAGCCCTTGCACAGGTGCAGTTCTGTTTAATGCCTTATTTGTTTTTAAGCATAACATTTATTTCTTGCAGTCATTAAAACTTAATTTTTGAATGTCTTGATTAAGTTAAGGGTTACTGTACTTTCTGTACTGCCAATTAGTTTATTTCCTTTGTTGATTTCTGGTTTGTTTTTTTTTAGGTCCAGTATACAGTTTTGACAAATCTACTTCATCCTGCATTTCTACAAATGCACTTCTTCCTGATCCTTATGAGTCAGAGAGGTAGGCTTCTTTTTCTACTCCCCTCTTTAAATACTGTCCATATTTCTTTGCTGTTACATATTTAGGGACTAATTTTGCAAACCTTTTCTCATTTGAAATCTAAAAAAGTGTGTAAGGGTTTGTGAAATTTAGCCCCTTTCTGCATGTCAGTCAGCATTTGACTTGATTGAATTTCTTCCTGATTCACAGAGGAAAATTGCAATATTTTTAAAGAGATTTAGCTCAGATAATTTCTTAGTGTTCCAAAGACATGTTCAGCCAAGTCCTGGACTCCACTTAAAGCCCACATCTACAACATTCTTGGAGGAAATCTGCATTGTTCTCTATTTCCCAGATGTGTAGGTAGCTGTGGTTTGCAGCATGCTGAATTTGGTGTGTCTCACTTGGGTGGCATGTGTTGTACAAAGTTTTCTCCCCTCCCTACAGATGTAGCAGAGTGGCAAGAGTAAATCATCCAGGTGGAGGAAAGCAAGATGCTGTTTGTGACAGCCCTATAATGTCAAAATGCGTTCCTCAGCAATTGTCACGTCATAGTCAGTGATGCCTCTTCTGTGGCTATTCCGCTTTTTACCTAGACTTTCAAGAGGCTTTGCTCTGTAGAAACCAGTTGTAGTTCTTTGCTGATGTTCTGAAATATCTAAATAAGTGATTAGTAAAATGCTGACACTCATTTGCATCGAGTGCTTGAAGATCTAGGGCTTCACCTTGAAAACTCTTGCTCATGTGTACATGTACACACCAGCAACCTCGTCTTAGTGGGGACCTCTGGGCTTCTGGTGCGTTACTGAGAGTGTTCCTGAGCTGAAGCCATGAAGGAAAGCCATCAGGAATGATAGTAGATTGGCACTTGAAAAAAAATACATTCCAAACTAATAGATAAAGTCAGACCCCAATTCCCACCAAATCTCCATTTTGCCAAAATAGAACATATGAAAAGAGAAGGAGATTTGGATATTTGAATTATCATTAGCTTTATAACAACACTACTGGCATTAAGACTAATATATTCAATATATAATAATAAAACTAATGATAATATTAGTCTTAATGCCAGTAGTGTTGTTATAATACCTATTGAAAATTAAAACTGTAGCCAGTCATTAATTCTGTGCTCTTTTCCCCTTGTAGAGTGTACGTTGATGTCTCTCTCATTTCCAGTGCTGGAGAAGGATTATTCTCCAAAATAGCAGCAGAAGCCAGTACAGTTATGTCCTTTTACAATGGAGTGCGAATTACACACCAGGAGGTAAAGCAGAGAAAAAAGTCAGTCTGAATTTTCATTGCTCCTTCTGAAATCATCATCTTGTAGTAGGATTTTACACCTCACCCCCTCTTTGCACCCTTAAGTTTTAATATGATGAAGTTTAACTGATAAAGAAAGTGCACGTTCACTGAACTGTGTATATATAATAACAAGTCATGACTGTGGTTTTTTTTTTAATGACTTACACACAAGACGGTTAGTTGCATGTATTTGAATGTTTGCTTTCAAACTGCTGGCAAAGTTGACTCCTCCACACACACTGGATTTTTGCCTTGCAAACTAGGTAGACAGCAGAGACTGGTCCCTCAATGGAAATACAATATCCCTGGATGATGAAACAGTCATAGACGTGCCAGAGCCCTACAACCACGCTGCCAAGTACTGTGCCTCACTGGGGCATAAGGCCAACCATTCCTTCACTCCTAACTGCATCTATGACCCGTAAGTAGAGCCTGTGTTTCAGAGTGCAAGCTGCAGCCCAGCGATCTGGGCTCACAGGGTGTTTCTGGGCAGCTGAACAAGGAACAGCTGGTGGGGCTGGGAGTAACAGGTCTGGGCACTGAAGGAGTTCCTGCTCGCCTGGTCTGAGTTGGAAACTGTATGGCGTTGCAGGTGTTTGATGTCTCTTGGGACTTATACACCATGGAGCATCTTGAAGTTTGCAACTGTATTTATTTTGTCATTAAGCTCTGTAGGAGCTACCTTTTGACTCTAAAATGCACAACTTTCTAGCGCCTAGTTTGGCTAGGACTGCACCGTATTTGCTGAACTGCAGATGCTTGACCAGTGCCATCAAGTGTGCTGTCTGAAACTCAGAAAATAAGCATCTTGGTGCTCTGTAGTTGGTGCACTGGGAAACCATTGGTGTATACATATGCTCAAGGGTATAAATATTTTCATACCAATGTATAAATGAGCAGACCTGTGGAAATACATGTGTAGAAAAAAGTTTTCCTTCCTCAGATAAGCCAGTCCCTTTTACTGGGATGATGTAGAATATTTACAGAAGTATTTTACGATTGTTTGGTAGTTAACCTGCGCTGAGGAAATTAGGATGAGCAATTTTTCATGCAAGTGTTTACCTTTCTCTACAAGCCTAAGGCATGTGGAAGTGATTAACATTTATTTATTATAAAAGAGCAGTGTTGCAGACAGGACTGGTGAAAAACTTCAGATAATAGAGCTATGCAAAACTGCTTTAATATATCAGTACTTTTGCCCTTATTACTGAAGCCTTTGTAAGGTTGACTCAAAGCAATCTACTTAGATGATATCAGATTATGTGATGTTACTCTGAACTGTGAGTGACTTCTGAAACTATAAAAGAGGATAAGGGAGCCTGTAGATTGACAGCTAAGCATACCTGTCCTAGCCTGTTTTGTTGTTATTTATTATGTATTATTTATTATTATTAAAAGGAAGAAGTTATTTACTGTGAGGGTGGAGAGGCACTGGAACAGGCTGCCCAGAGAAGTGGTAAATGCTCTGGCAGTGTTCAAGGCCAGGTTGGACAGAGCCTTGGGCAATATGGCCTCACGTGAGGTGTCCCTGCCCATGGCAGGGGGATTGGAACTAGATGATCTTAAGGTCCTTTCCAACCCAAACCATTCTATGATTCTTTGTCTAGGTTTGTTCATCCTCGTTTTGGGCCCATCAAGTGTATCCGTACCATCAGGGCTGTGGAGAAAGATGAAGAATTAACAGTGGCTTATGGATACGATCACAACCCCGTTGGGCAGAATGGGCCAGAAGCACCAGAGTGGTACCAGCTGGAACTGAAAGCTTTCCAGGCTGCCCAGAAAAAGTGAAATGGGAGCTCCTTCTCTGCTCAGCAAACTGAAATAGAAACTTGGATCTATGCACTACCTTTATACTGAAAACTGGACAACCAGGGATTGTTCATGCTGTTGCATCATAACTTTGCATTCTGTGTTAAGAGATAAGTTTCTTGCATACTAACTAGGTTTGACTGTGTTACTCATAGCAGATTTAAAATTAGCTAGTGTTGCACCAGTCTTATCTGGAGAAATTATTTAATATTCTATACGAGATGTGATATTCTTTGGTAGCTTCTGCTTTTGCACCATATGCAAAGATGCCAAAAGACTAGACAGAAAACTAAAATGGGTATATCGTTCACTTTTAGTCGGCAGACTTAGTGTTGCTCTCTATCTGCCTAGGCATTATTGTGCAACTGCATTTTGCATATATGCCACTTGTGATGATAACAGTAATATTTTGATATTCTCTAATAGTAGCATAATTTTGCCTTTTTAAACCTTTGATCTGAATCTTGCAATAGAGCAGTTTATTTATTAGCATATAGGAGGCTGGGTTTTAACTCCCCTTTCCTCTTGTCTGAATGTTGTTCTTTCTACAAATCTTTTGCAGGAGAAAATCCTTTCTAACTAGTGGAAAGGCTTGTGTGTGTATGTGAGAGTGCTGTGTGTTGGTCTCTGTGGCTCTCTAAATAGTATAGCAACATGTCCAAACCTAATATTAATCTAGCCTTTATGGCTGGCTTATTTTATTTATGATTATGACACGCAAATGAAGCTGTTCTTTGCATGAAGATTTGCTGAAGGAAGAGAATGGATGTGCTTCTTGAAGGACTTCCGGAAGTGTGTGTTCTGGAAGGCAGGTGCGTTACTTGCATTAGTGTCCAGGGTTGGTTTGTGTGTTTCACCTGTTAAGGCTGCAAGTTCTCAAGGCAAAAATCCTAGCAATGAGATGCTTGCATCTCACATGAATTCTCTTGAAGGAGATGTATCTGAGGGCAGGCTGTAGTACTTGATGAAGGAGAGCTGTATCTTTTGTATCTGTTCAGTTGACAAAGAATATAGCCTTGTAGCTGTCTTTTTGTAGTGCTGGTTTAAGACACAGTAAATCAATATAGTATGAGATATCAAAATAAGATAAAAAAAAACTATATGAGAAGATTGTTTTTGAAAGACAAACAATGAATGTAAAAACTTCACGCACTGCTCATACTTAGAAGCAGCAGTCAATCCGTAGCTTTGTTGCAGCCAGCAGTGGGAGCTTGTGAATATTCATCTTCAGGGCTGTGTTCTGGGGTTTTTCAGGGGTAGAGAAATTGTTGTGCATTTGTTTTCAGATATTGTACTGGTCTTGCCTAATGCTGTATAGGAGAGAGACAATGTATGATCTTGGTCTGGATGCTGGAGCCCCTTCTGGGCCTATGAGGATCTCTTTTGGGTTTAGCAGCTTAGGAAGAACTCAGATGCATTTGCAACACTTTATTTAAATGTTTGTAGTTTAGAGAAGTTTGTATATATGTAACATAAATGATTTGGAAATCAGACCTACCTTTCTATTGCAACACATTTTGGTTGGTTGCTTGAACAGTCAGAGGTGTGTCTAGCTGTCTGGAGAGCTAGACATGGAGAATGTGTTGGGTTGATACCTGCAGGTGGAAGGATGAGGTTGCTGTTTTGTGCAGTCTGAGAATCCTTGCTTTGGTACAAAGTTAGTTATTAAGAAGAACCTCTGTAACCTGGGGCTCTCTTTAGTCCCTGTGACTGATCACAAACCTTTTCCAGCACCTCACCATTTAAGCTTGCAAAGAAGCTACTCCCGGCATGTGCTTGCTGGTGGGCAGGCAGGTAGGCTCAGGGCTTTTGACGCTCTTCCAGCAGTGATCTGAATGTGAGCTTTGGCATCACCCATCTTCTCACACTGGAGACTTAAGCCACAGCTCTGCTTCTCATCCAAGGCAGGTGGCTGGCAGAGGTGACAGTTCAGGGACTCAGCTGACTGTGCAGAGGCAGAACTGAGCCTTATGGTTGAAGGAAGGTTGTCAAAGGCCAATGGACAGCACAGCTTCAGCGAGTGAACCTCAGAAAGAAATATGCATGCTAGATCTTTCCCCACCTGCCTGCAGGTCACTATTTTAGATCATTGCTCTTTCAGCTGTTTGCAGAGAAGCATGCCTGGCTGGTAGGAACCTTTTATGTTCATCTTGTGGATTATTCTGCCAGGACCATAGAATTTGCAAAGTTGAAGCTTAAGTGCAGGGAAGAGGAGCAGGGAAGGTATGTGGCTGAATCCTGCTGTGGATGGGTGGTAACTCCTTCCACAGTGTTGATAACCTCCTTTGGACTGCTGGCGTCTTTGTGCCCTCTATAGTATCAGGCTTAAAATGTTCTGATCTCTTGAGCTCTTTGGGCTTCATTCCTTGGATCAGTCTCTGATTCCTCTGCTATCTCCCTTTGAAGTTGTTTATGCTTTAATAGGTTTATTGGTCTTTGAATTACCTGATTTTTTGAGATAAATACAAGATAGGTGCCCTTTCCATATCAGGTTTGAAAGTTGCACCCTAAAATAGAGAAATCCTAGGGAAGGAAGGCACTGAGATATCCTCAGTGTGTTCTCAAAAGCTGTTAACTTGGTGGCAGTCAAGCAGATTCTCTTGCTCATGCCTGTAGCCTGGTAGTATGCCACAGCTGTGGCTATTGTCTCTGTTAACTCTGCTGTCCTTTTTCTCTCTGCTCTGTTAAAATCTATTGGTCCTCCTATAGATCCCTTCTTCAGTGACCAACCTTTTATAAAAGTTGTGATTATAAAGCTGCTTTGGCTTGATTCAGGACCAAGCCTTTTAATCCTTGTTTTCTTTTTTCTTTGTGGTTTATTAGAGTGAAGATGGTTGGGGTGGTTTTTACCACTGAGTAGCCAAAGGGCTCAGTGTGTCCTTCAGAGGTTTTTGAGAGGTGTGCGTTGGCAACCACAGGTTCAAACACAGGTTAGCTATAGAACTCCAAATAATGCCTTAACTTGGTCAGCGTATTGCAGCTCAGCTTCTGGGGCTCACTAGATAGCAAGGCTGGCTTAGCAAAGCTGTTTATCAGTAGTAACACGAGACCCACACCAAACATGGTTTTGAATTGGAGCTGAGGAAACAGCTGTTTTGCAAATCAATCAGTTTGAGTCTGTTGGATGCAGCTGACTGCTGGTGAATATGCAGTAAGAAGCTCTACTTCTCAGAGTCTGGCCAAAGACCTATCCTGTCAGCACAAAAACTGGAAGGAGAACTGATGCCTGCCGTGAGCAGCTGGCTCTCAGAGTACCTGTTGTGACTAAAGAATGGCATAAGAGAACCTGGAATTGTTGCTTTTGCCAGGTATGAATCAGTTCCCAATGCCTGCCTTTGGTCTCCAGTGCTGCACATGGCTCCTCTGGGATGGGAGGATTGTTTCCTGAGCTCTTTGATGAGAAGGAGCCTGTATCAGCCAGTATTAGAGGCTGATGATGGTCTCTTTTATAAAATAAATAGAATCTTACATGGCTCTTCCTGCCATGGCAGCACTGTGTTTTGTCACCAGGAATACACAAGCTTAGTTTTCTGGAGAAGCATTGAATCTTGGAGACAAGAGAGTATGAGGAGTTAAAGCTGAGAGCTGCCTGCTGCTGGGTCACTCCTCTGGCTAAGAGAGAAAAAAGCTTTGGGCTGGGTCTCAAGCTATAATTTTAGTTTTGGGGAGCTACTAAAATACCTGATTTTCCTTCACAAAGCTGAAAAGGCTTTTTTTCCCCTTTTTGGTAGTAATTAAAAAAAAAAACCTTATCATCCATAAAAATATGTAAATCTTAACTGTTGAAAAAGTCAAAGGAAGTAGGTGGGTATGGTGGTGATAGCTTTTGACTTCTTCCACAGTTGCAAGGATTCCTGCTGGGATGGCCCATGGTTTTGCCCAGGTTCAGCTCCTGACAACTCATACAGGTTTTGAGACCTTTGTGAGGCTTACCAGTTGCTTGGCCCTGTGAGGCTACATGTTTTGGGGGTGATGAGGCAGCCGTCTCCTTCATCCAGGCTTTCCAGATGCAAAGCTTTGTGCCACACACAGTTGGCAGTGGCTGTGGTTGCTTTCCTGGGTTGTTGTAGGATGTTGCTGGTGTGGAAGTGAGAGCGCCATTGGGGATTTCTCACCCTGTGCTGGGCACTGGAGGAGCAGTATAGCTGACATAGCCTATCTGGGATAAGAAACTGAGGAGTGGTGGGAATTGCCACTTCTCTGTTTCATCCCAACTGGCTGCCCTTGTCCTTCAGTAAATACCCGTGGTCACCACTTTGGTTGCACCAGGAACTGTAGAGAGTCGCTTCTGTCCCAGAGCCCTCTGTGATTTCTGTCCTTTCACTCAATTTGATAGTGTTTCTGGAAAATGCTGCCATTGCAATGAGGTAACAAGTTGTACAGAGCCGGTTATCTGCTGCTTTGGTTTCCTCAGGTACAGCAGACTTGCTGGAGCTGTGGGTGCCTGAGGAATCCACCTCCAAGCAATTGGGTTAAAACCCAATTGCTTTGAAAACAATGTCGCTGAAGTGTCTCCTTATATGCTGGGGTGCTGCGTTAGACACCTCTTCCTCACTCACACATTGCTGTCATATGCTGAGAGGAACTGGAAACATGAGAACTGTATTTTTGGACAAAGCATTTATAAGCAGTCTTACAAGGGATTTTTTTTTTTTAATTATAAAAAAGGTGCAAGATTGAGTGCATGTTTACTTGCCCCAGATCAAAGGTTTTGAACACTAAGGTCACTGTCTGTTGAATGGACCCTCCTCTTGACCCTCTTCTGTCTTCAGGCAATTGAAGCTCCTGCCCTCTTTCTCTACCAGTTTTATTGTACCTATTTTGGTTTTCCCCAGGAGTAATATATATATACACAAAAATCCTTGAAGCAATTAAATGTTCAAGCCATAAAATCAGGAGTGTGGGAAGACCCTCTTCACAAGTTTTAACGTATTTGTATGTAAAATGATGTTTGTATGAAATATTTTCATGGTAGAATGAATATTTAAAAGAAAAAGATTCCAGTAAGATCTAAACCAAATTTAAAAGGATGTCTTTTTGTAAGATGCAAGTGTAATTGGTTACCAATAAGTAGATATTTGTTTTTAAAGGGGAGATGCAACAAATGATCTTTACAATTACAAATGGTCGTTTCTGCTATTTGGGAAAGTATTTATGCAGCATTACACATGGCTATCATAAATAACTGCAATAGCAAGGCCAGTCGCATCTTCAGGACATACCTCTCAGCTTGTCCCCTTTGTGATATTATAGGAACAGACACATCCCTCCTTTCTGCAGATTTCTTCCTAAAAAACTTTTCCTACTGTAACTGTACTGAATTTAACTCTTGAGCTAAGATCCAGACTAAAATTGTGTATTACTTAACAGTTTCTGCTGGGCCTTCTGCTATTTTAATACTCTTCAGCCCATAATTACTGGGTGTCTCTGTTCTGAAGAACTAAGTGCTAAAGAATAATCTTGGGGTGAGCTTAAACGTGTGTTAACAGTTAACCCCGGAGTATTTAACTGTATAAAGTACTTGAGATAGGTGTTTTATGACATTTGTACTCGAACTATGAGCCTTACTGAACATCTGTAGGTTTATTCATGACTTTTCAAAAATGGATAACTCTAAGAAAGATGTTTACATGAATGATGATTGCCCTTCCTTTGATGTTATGAATGAGGTTTTTATAGTGTGTTTGGGTGTATGTGCAAGGAAGTAAGAAAAATGTTTCTGGGGAAAAACAGACTTGACAAACATTTGTAATAAGTGAATTTTAAAGATTGCTTTAATTGCGCTATGAAGGCAATGCAGATATTAAAATATTCAACAGAATCATCGTTTCTCCTTCTTGTTTGTGTGTCATGGTTTTGGGTGTCCTCTGATTTCTCCCCCTTCCTTGTGCGGCTGCTTTGTGACAACTGCTGATGTGCGGGAGCAGGATTTGGCGCAGAGTTAACACGCTTCTAGACCACGTTATATTACTAGTGATTGAGCAGCAGAACACTCCTGCACTACTGCCTTTGGGGGTTTCTGGCACCTCTGCTGCTCTTGCTATTCACTTCTCTCTACTCAGTGCACAGAACGTGTGCTTCAGTTGTATTGTGGGATGGAAGAACATCCTGCCTGTGAATGCCAAAGTGTTTTTAACACTGGTTATTTTAAAGCAGGTGACAGTGCACTGGTATATTTTTCTCTTGCTGTTGCTGCCTGAGGCAGTAGGAAGGCATGGCAGCAACCAGCAGCACCTTCCAGGCAGGTAACCTATGGCTTTCTCTCCTAATTTGCAGTATACATCCTGCTGGGTGAGTGGTGGAAAAAGGAACAGTGTTTTTGTGTCTGCCCTCCTTTTGTGATCTCTGCAACCGCTGTGGTAACTTGGCCTCTTGTGCCGATGTGCTGGGTGTAAGTGCACGGAGGCTATGGCTTTCTTTCCAAGGGTGGAAGAGGGACTTGTTCGGCCTCGGCATTCCCCGTTGACCCTTCAAGCTGAAAGGATGAGGGTTTGCTGTGTGGAAGGTGACCCAATGGGCTGGCTTCACCCTGCCTGGCTGTGTTCCACCTGTAGACTGGTGGTGCAATCCTTTGCTCACACCACGGTGAGGCTGCGGGTATATTTACAGAAACAATAGCTAACCTATGAATTGATTTCTTAAAACGGTGTGGGGGGTAGGCATGATTTAGTGCTGTGCTTGTTAGCGCTGGAGTTGACTGGAGGCGCTTGGGTGGGTTCCTGTGCCGAGGAGCCCTTGCCTGTCGAGGTAATCACACAAGTCATTAGCGGTGCATACAGAGGGTTTCCCCAGCTTTAAGTATCGTGCACGCCTGCCGTGTGAAGCGGAATTTAAGGCCGGAGCAAAAGGGAAGAAAGTCCTGTATGGAAACGAGACGCATCCCCTGCGGTGCCGGCGCGGTCCGAACGCGAGCGGGGGCAGCCTGTGCCGTGGGCGGGAACTCCTGCGGGCCGAGAGCCAGAGCCGGAGCCGGAGCCAGAGCCGGGAGGACCCGGGCCAGCCGGAGCGCTCCGCGATGTGCCGCGGCGGCCGAGGCTCCCGCAGCCTCTTCGGTTCCTTTTCACCGCGACCGGAGCTCCGCTCCCCGGAGGCGGAGCCGCCGCAGGTGAGGAACCGGCGCCGGAGGCTGGGCGCGGGCGGTGTGGGCGCGGCGCTTCCTGGGTCAGGCCGGTCTCCTCGGTGCCCCCGCGGCTGCAGCTGCCCCCGCCCCCCGGGAGGCGTTCGGTGACCGGCAGCGGCGACGAGGAGCGTCGGGTCCCGAGTGCCGGCGGCACCGGCTCCCTGCCGAGGGATCGATCAGGGGCTCCCAGCGAGGGACGGAGCTCGTCTTCTGGAGGGAGCGAAGCCCAGGGAAGCCCCGACGGAAGAAGGTTGGCGGTGGGCGGGGGCTGAAGTGGGGATGGCACATCTCCATCCAGCAACTTCAGCCGTGGTGTCCCGGGCACCTGCCCAGAGCAGCGGGAGGGGTTTCTCGAAGACGTCTCCCCAGCAGGAGGTGACCGCTGTACCCCGGTGAATGTACTGTCCTGCCCGGCACAGGTCCCGGTGCTCCCCGGGTGCTGATGCTCCTCTCCCTTTCTCCTGCCTAGGACAAGCTCCTCTCGGCTTTGCTGGAGAGCCACGGCGCAGCCTTCCGGTCTCCACGTGTGGAGGTTTATGTGTGAATCAAAGCGGCATGGATCGCTACCGGTATTTCATCTTTAACCAGAGGAGCATGGTCGTGCTTGGGCTGTTCCAGATAGCCTTCAGCACGGTGTGCATCGTCAGCGGGCTTGTAGATGGGGTTTTCAGCACTGAGTCTCAGCTGAGCATAAGCAGAGCTCCAGTTTGGGCTGGGATGGTAAAGTAGCACTTTATTTTCTATGCTTTGTTTTGTCTTGTTTTTGTTTTTTTTTTTCTCTGCTGCTACCCACAGGTACTTGGCTTGGGGGTGGGAGGGAGCCCAGGACTTCCTGCCACCTCTTCCCTGATTTCCTGCTTTGTACTCAGATAATTAAAGGTTACATATTGTGGCAGGAGGGTGCAAACAAACTTTCCTCTGAAGGAGCTAATAAAATAAACCGTATAATAATACACGTTTCTACTGGATAGTGTAGAAAATGGGGCATAGTGGCAATTGATAGGGATTTTTGCAGAAACATGAGACCACAGAGAAGCCACTGAAGATGAGGAGGGGACTGCTTCATCCTCACATCACGTAGATGAACATCTGAGTGGCAAGCTGTGTCCACAGCACAGTGCCACTAATTCTCTGTACCACAACGAGTAGTGGGCAGTGGGCATTCTCACTCCCAGCACTCGATACCCTGATGCTACCCTATTGAGCCACGCCACCAGGGGGCTGTACCAAAGCTCTTCAATCCACAGGCTGCCCATCTCCTTTCAGTAATACCTTTCTTCCATTTACAAGATGCATAAGGACTTGGGAAAGCAGGGTGCACTTCTAGCACTTCTATCAGACTTTCAGTTTTGTTATGTGGCTAGAGCTATAATGCAAGGGGGAAGGTTGCTGCTGTGGGGGTAGCAAGTGGCCAAGATGCATTTCACCCAGTGTCCTGCTCCCAGGAGGTGCTGCAAAGGAAAACAGAAGAAACCAGCATTTCTCTTTCCATTTCTGACCTCACAGTTACTGTAATCCAAGCCTGGAAAACAAGGACTTTTCTTCTGCTCTGTCATAGTTTATCTTCCAAATCTGATACTTGCCTCCCTGTTACCAACTTGTCTTGTGCTCTGCAGGTGATGGGAGTCCCAGGCCTCCTGGCTTTGTTTTCTTCTCAGCGGAAGAACCCAGTTCTCGTAAGATGAGGTGGTGGTGGTGGTGGTGGTGGTGGTGTGTGTATGGGGCAGGGGCAAACTGCCAGGGCAATAAAACCAGTTTTGGTAGGGAATGAGCTGTCTGGTCCTTCTGCAGGATTGAGAGCTTATTTCCTTGAGTTAGCTCTATAAATGCTGCTACATTCCTAAGCAAAAGGAGGATGAAGTGTTGCCTTGCTTTCTGCTGCAGCAGAGAAGTGCTGGCTCTAACAACAAGCAAAAATCTGTAAAACCACTTGGTTTTGAATGCATTTCTTTTGGTGTTTCTTCCTGTTATTAAGAATTACGTACACTAAAACAGGAAACAAGTTAATTGGGTTGCATTTCCTAGGCAGGTCTCTCCAGCCATGTAAATTTCAAGGGGGAATACTGTCTACAAGTAGGAGAAGAAAGCCTTTGGGTCCAGCTAGCTCCTGTGGTTAAGATTTGCGACTTAATTGTAGCTCAGAAATTCTGTATCATGGAAACCTTTACTGCACTGTGTTTGGCTTCCAGGTGGCTGTTGCTACTGAGAACTTCTCAGTGTTTACAGGAGGTCAAAGACCAGTACTCACAATGCTTGTCAGAACATTTGGTTTATATTACGTGTGTGGATTGGTCAGGGGATAGTTTTAATTCCTGCTCCCCTTCTTTTTCTCCTTTAATTTTTCTGTATAGGTGAATGTACTGATAGTTTCTTCCATAACCTCTTGTGTTGCCATCCTCATCGTAATAGTTTATAGCTCACTCACACTGAACTATGGGGAAGAGGAGGAGCTGAGTTCTGCCCCAGTCCATATTATCCATACTGTAAGTACTGATACCATGCTTATTACAGGAGAGCATGACTGTCTTAACCTGCAAACATTGCTAGGCATGACTTGGAAACAGAACCAGACTTCCTGGGTGCCTAAATCAGAGCTTGAAGAGGTGCCTGCAGCAGGGCCCTTGTTTAAAAGTAATTGGGGTAAGTCCGCAGTTAAGTATTGAGTTAGGTGCTGAAAACCACAAAGCCTGTGCAGGGCTAGGTGGATATTTTACATCTAGCTCCTGCTGTTCACTGCTGCTGCAGCATGGCTTGTGTCAGTGGCTATGTGAACTAATGCACAGCTTGCCTGGATGCCTGTGATAAAGTTACAGCAGTTACAGGTCAGCTGGTTAAAAGTGGGTATTATTTCAAGTGTATCCTCCACTGTAAAGCTGAAAAGAAGGAATGAGTTAGACTTTTTGTACCTCAGACCTGGTACGAGTGATGGCTCCCTGTGGGATGAAGACACTGCAGGTAGATAAAGCTGTTCATTAATTTGTTGCAGGACAAACTGAAGTGTCAGTCTGCTAAGGTGCAGTATAGCAAGAAGACACTTCTCAGTGTGAAGAGGAACAACCATTCCTTGGGTTTCTACTTGTTGTTAAAGCTGTTTCCAAACCTGATGCTCTTGCATGGTGTCTTACATTTAATCCGAGACCTTATTTTACTGCTTGCTTTTTTACTATTTGAGGTTCATACTTGGCATGTTTTTCAGAGCACAGGAAGAGAAGCCTTAAATAACACTGACTCTGAATCAGTCTCCTATAACGCAATTGCAGCATTCTTGCAATCATTAGAATGCTTTTTTGGTGGAGCGCTTCACTTCTTGAGTATGGTTTTCACATTTCCTTTTCTGCTTGCAGAAGGTCATATTGAATAAAGTAGTCAAAGGTGCTAATGTAGCCATGCTAGCTGCTTCTGTCTGCAGTGCTTTTGTTGTGCTGGTAATGGCTTATTTGGGATGCCGGAGTCTTCCACGCTGCTCGTGCTACGACAGCGTAACTGGGATGGTGAGTGAGGGGTCCAGGGCACCCATTTAGTGGTACTGACTGTGGGTGGGAGGGGAAGAAACTGGGGAGATGTGTTTTGCTTCTATAAACCTAGCCTCAGCTCTGCCTCCGTCATCCAGGGCTACTTCTTAGAAATAAAGTGGGTGTTAGAAGGGTTTTGTACTTTTTGTATTTTTCTTTCTACTACCTCCCTCTTATTTACATTCTCGTGTAAGACCTAGCTAAGTTAGCTCCATTTTCCAAACCAGTAGTGCTGAAAGCTACTGCAGTGACATTTCCTATGAATTCCTGCTCTCCTCAAAAAGTGCTACTTTTCTCTCACCCTTAAACCAACGATTGTTCCTGGTACAGCATTTCAGAGAGTTACTGGTACTTATATACAGAGATGCCTTATCCCTCGAACTACAAATTCAGTGAGAAAAATATCCCCCGTACTGTGTGTGAAGTGTAGGGGAGACAACACACCACATTTCATTGCTAATTTATGAGGACTTTGCCTCAAGTGATGGGGCACATACCACGTATCTCTGCTCAGTACATACCAGCTACTTCTCTGCTAGAGTAATTCTGATGCTGTATTAAACATGTACATCCAACCAGCTCATTTGGTAAGGAATTAATGGGTAGAGGTTACAAGGCAGCTGCTCTCGACTCAAGATACCAAGCGTGTAATGTGAAGCCGCTTTAAACTTTAAAACTAAAACTTGTTAGGAGAGGTGGACTACACAGGCTTTTAAAATGAGTTCAGGTATGTCTCTTGAACAAACTTGCAGATGAAGGTTTTGATGTCATTGTTTCTTTCATAGGAATGGTTGCAACCTAGTGAGGACCAAAGTCAGACTGTGGAGATGATTTGCGCTGCACAAAGTGAGTAGCTCCCTCCATGTATTTACTCACCAGGGATGCTGAAGGAACATCCTGAGTAAACTTTACATCCCAAGCCAAAATCCCGATAACCAAAATACTTCGAGCCAAAAGGAACTCCGGATTTTGTGCAAGTGTCTACCCCAGGTCTAATAATGGTTTCCTCTTTCCTTCCCCACACAGGCCCTGGGGGCAGAATTTTTAACTTCCCAGATCAGTTTCCAGCCCGGGACTTAGATGCAGAGGAAGATGCATCCAAACCTCCACCATATATCAGAATGGCTTGAAAGAGTGGCTGAACATTTTAAAGCTACCAGTCTAAGTGTGGCAAGAGAGATGCAAGGAGTTCTTCATTGTTAAAGATGGTTATGCACTTTTCCTTGGCCTTTTGAAAAACACACAGAGAAAGAGAACTATTGAATGGCAACGTTCAGCAAAGATCCTAGTGCAAATGGGAAGATCTGCAGATGGTTTTGGACATTCAGACTCTGTATAGTTAAAATACCTCATTGCCTCTGGAAAGCATGTCTATTCCTCCAGCTTTTGTACTTAAATCATGTCTTATTCCACTAGAATTCATCGTGCAGTTTGTCTAGCAGTGCTAGCCTGAGGCATTCAAATATTAAATACAAGGAATTTTTAAAAGAAACTGGTTGTGGATTATTTCTCCCCTCCAACTGCTATTGCGGTTTCTTCCTCTTACTCAATGAATTATTTGGATGATGTGGTAGTGTATGAAGAATAATGAAGGACCCACTTCATTACTGAGCTTTGGAGTGCTTTTCCTTTTCTTCTTGGCAGGGATGTGGGCAGGTGAAGTTTATGATACAAAGCCTTGCCAATACCATTCAGGTACCTCCATCAAAATGAGGATTCTGTGGGTTGTACATATGTCAGTGCAATTAGTTTTAGTGCTGAGGTGTAATGCTAGAGTGTGGTAGTAACTAGAGTTGCAATAGCTCCTCTTACAGAGTAACTTAGATACTCTGAATTCAGCTCGGGTTTTTCTACTTCAACTTTGCAGAAGGGAAGTTTTTAAAACTGTTTATTTTGGGTCATATGCTACTGAAACTGCAGATCTAGAGCAAGGTCCTCTGCTGGAGGTTCTCTAGGGGACTTCTTGGTCTTCTAGACCAAGGAACTGCAGCTTCCAGCCAGCTTCTGTTAACTCCTGAGGTGCATAGAATTTCCATATGTACTTTATGATTCACTTTCAGGTAGGCTTAGAGGTGTCTGCCAAGTAATTATCTTGCCTGCAAGCCTTGAGCATGAAGCGGTAGATTACTTATCTCACAATATAGATTAACGCAGCATGTACATGCAAACAGGGCTTAGAAATTTCCTGACTTGAGAAAGTGCTATGAGTAGTAGGATAAGTCATGCCCGCCATGAAGCATGTAACCCCAGGAATGTTCTCGGAGAAGATTTATCTTATTGCAGCATTTAAGGTGCCTTTTCTGCTCCAAGAGAAGAGGGAACTAATACAGTTGGTGTCACTACGGATGTCCATTTGAAGGTATCAGTGCCTGAATGACTGTATTAAAATAATTACTATATTGAAGTAATTCAACCACTGTAATTCACCAAGTGAAGCTGTGCCTTTATTCTGTGTGTATAGTACCCGTCAGCAAGCACTGAAGCACCGAGCTTGACTCCTTTCCACATCCTGAGATGCTTCTGGCATCACTCCAAACAGTCTGTGATGAAATGTTGGGTTTTTTCTCCTTGATTAATATGAACTGCTGTTCTTGTATATAAAATAAAGACTCCCCAAGAGGTTATTGTGATTCCTCGTCACTAGAAGCAGTGAGGTTTTCATTCTCTTTTAGTCTAAAACAGAGTTTGCCTTTGAGAGAAGAAACTTGCTAGGAGTAGTCTGTTGCTAAAATGCACTGCTCAGCCACTGCATTGTTTCTGGGCAGAAGTTATGGTCCCCTCCAGAAATACTATTCTGTAACTAGTCTTTACAGTATGAGATGATATGATAGATGCTCGGTATAATTCAATAGTACTCAACTGCTGGTTGACAGAGCAATTGGCTTTTATTGCAGGCACACAGAGAATATTTCACTGGTCCTTAGCTGAATGCAGGACTGTTTCTGTTTAGTTCAGAAGGGTAACTCCTGAGCTACGGGTAAGAGACCCACAGCTGTCCTGTGGGGCTGATGCAACCACAGCTGACACAGGTCAGGGCCTCTTGGCACAGCTCTGAGACATGAGCCGGGTACGCAGACCGTTCTCCCCTGGGCAGCTTGAAAAGCATCCGATCGATGGCATTTTAATCACAGAATCATAGAACAGTTAGGGTTGGAAAGGACCTTAAGATCATTCAGTCCCAACCCCCCTGCCATGGGCAGGGACACCTCACACTAAACAATGTCACCCAAGGCTCTGTCCAACCTGGCCTTAGAATCCCAGACTGGTTTGGGTTGAAAGGGACCTTAAAGCCCATCCAGTTCCAACCCCCTGCCATGGGCAGGGACAACTTCCACTGGACCAGGCTGCTCCAAGCCCCATCCAACCTGGCCTTAAACACTGCCAGGGATGGAGCAGCCACAGCTTCCCTGGGCAACCTGTGCCAGTGTCTCACCATCTTCACAAGAAAGAATTTCTTCCTAATGTCTAATCTAAATCTCCCCTCTGTCAGTTTAAAGCCATGCCACCTTGTCTTGTCACTACATGTCTTTGTAAACAGCCTCTCTCCAGCTTTCTTGTTGGCCCCTTTAGGCACTGAATACTGCTCTAAGGTCTTGAGCCTTCTCTTCTCCAGCCTGTAACGATAGTGTTAGACAGACCTCTGCCAGTGTGGCAGGGTCTCCTTTGGCAGTGAAACAACCTTAACAGCAGACAGTGAAGTATGAGTGGGTAAAAGTGTGCTCTGTGCTACTTCTAAATAAAAACCTATGTAACTGATTCAGCAGCAACTATAAAGCCCTTGATGGCTGTACTGCCTTTTACAGCCCTTTCAGTGGTGCAATCGCTATTGCAATACCAGCACCTAAGATCACTCAGAGACGCACTATTTCAACAGTTCTTTCTACAAGAGGGGAACTGCTAGGAAAGAAACAGCTGCAATATGGAAATTGGTGGAAACTTGAATACCAGTCTAATGCCACTCCCTCTAATTGGTTAGCATTGCAGAAAATATATTCCTGATTGCAGCTTCCAGAGCTATATTTAGCAGCCTATTCTGCATGCTAGTTATGGTGCCTTCCCAGAGCCTGCCCGCATCTCCTGGGGCATTTCATGGTTTGTGTCAGCTTTCGCTGACGGAAGTCAGACAGAGTTTTATTTACTGTGCAAACACACATCTGTAATGCCTCCAGTAGAAATGGCCTCGTTACTTGTTCCCCAGAGACTTTTCCTCATTGGCAAGATGCCAGGAACCGAGCTGACTTCCCATTCCTTCCCAGCACTGCAAGATTTTCCCTTTGGGGTGGGCAAAGGCCCGTGGCTGCTGCAGGGAGGTATGGTTACACATGTCAGGGTGGCACTCTGGGTCCAGAGGTGGGTGTCCCAGTAGGTACACCTCAGCACAGCACCTGCAAAATAAAGCAAGGGAGCCTGGGGGCAAGGAAATAGAAATTCCAAGTTCCACCTGAGCCCAGGGCTGCTTCTGCACTGTAACAGCCTTCTCACATGGCTGCTGCACCTTAGTTACAGGCGCCTCACGCTTTGCTGCTAAGAAATGGAAATATCTTGGCATTTTGAAGAGGAATGATAGATGCAAACATGTCTCAGATCTCCCTGAGGCCAAACATTCATTGGGTGTATTTAGAAACGGCTGATCTAAGCGGAGCAGCCTGCAGGCACCTTGCTTCTGACATGGGTTATGGATCTCGGTTATGTGATCCTGCACAACAGAGTTACAAGGACACCAAGCGCTTTGTGCTCACCTTGTGTTAGCATTATTTGTCAAGACAAGGCACTTACGTCCAAAAATGTTTGGGTTTTTTATCTTGAGTCAGCTTAGCCAAATGTCACTCTATTCCCAGACGTGCAGAACAAGGCACACAGAATCACTGGGCTATAAAAGTGAAGGCTGGCAGCCTCTCCATCAGCAATGGCCAGCGTTAATCACAGGGTGTAATCAGAAGGTTAATCGGGGAAGCTGGTTTCATGAGTTAATATTCAACTAAGGGCAAAGTATTTGCTGGCCATTTCCCCCTAGAAGGTACTGGGGAGGTGGGGAAGAGGAGGGCTCTTCATCATGGTGGGTACATTTTTGACAACTAGCTTGATCAGGATTGGGGTTCTTTGTAGCTTCACTTCCAGTCTTGCAATTCAACACTGACATAGCACTCTCTGACAGGAACATTTTGCTTTTCATCCATGTTGAGTAAAATAAATGGTTTCAGACTCATGTGGTGTGCGCTGGACACTTTGCTACCAACATGTGGGTTTAGCTTCACTGCCCCTCACCCCTAAGGCACTTTGCAAGTTCCAGGTATATACGGTTGGCACAGTTCCTCCCCTATGCTGCTGAGCTGGTGCTCAGGGTCAGGGTGGTGGAAAGCAGTCAGCTTTGTTGGGCACAAATATTTTTCCCCTTTGCTGGCAAAAGGCAGTGAGAAGCCAGGGGATGAAAAAATCACAGCTCTGCATGATCTGGAGCCCTGCCTCTTCCAGTGTACTTACTTATATGTTTAAGTCAAACTTCACGATAGGTAAATGAACTGGCCTGAAATGTTCTGTGTGGGGAATGACTCCAGGTCTTGCATTTAAAGAAAATATATAGAGCCATTGACTACACAAGGGTACTAGTTCATAGCAGGAGAATTATCTGGTTTGAGAAATCATTTCTCCCCAAACCCTTTGCTTGGTCTCAGTGGCTCTAGTACAGCAGTTCTTGTGTCAGCTTCCATGGCTGGCTGCTTTCTTTTCATCCAGCAACCTGTGGTACACAGAAATGCACTGCTAGCTGCTAGGTGAAAGCAACTTACAAAAGAGAGACTTAAAAGAGCTGGGAAAGGATGGGCGTAGGAGTAATCAATCAAAATACAGCTATGTTCTGAAAACAGAAAGTGGTATTTGCCTGCCACTGAAAGGAGGAAGGTTTTCTTTTTCTTTACAGGCAGCAGAAAACCCACCTAATATAACCAGAGCATGGTGTGCATTTTTTGAGTCAGTCTGCTTGATTTCTTGATCCTTATGCGTCCTTTCCAACTTGAGATATGATTCCATGATTCTCCAGCACTAACAGTGTGTGAGTAAGTATGGGGAAACGGCCTTTGATTTAACTCTTAACTTGAGGGGGGAAAGTCCATCAAAGCAAACAGCTTTTCCTGGCAGCTTTTCTGTAAAGATAGCAACTGCTTTGTCCTGCACCTCCGCAGGTCAATCTAACTGAAGCACACTATAAACCCACATAGTTTCACTTGCGCTTTCTGAGCTGTTGCAGTAATGTCTTTTTTTTAGTTCCAGAAACATGTGCACTCTCTTTAATTGACATGACATTTATCTGTCATCTTAATTAAAACAGATTACTTTGGTTTATATTTCATTTTCTGACTTCTGTGCACTACAGAAGTACAGTCATCACATTTTTAAATCATTATCAGTTGCTGTATATACTGAAACAGTACATGCAAATATTGTTAAGCCCTTGCCCCTCATCCAATAACCACGACACTGATTTAGGATTATGGC